GAGCCTTCTGGGTATGCAAAATCCCATATCCAGGCAGCCATTGTAGGTAGAATATACCCGAGAGAAACAATCTATAAATGGCCACGCCATCATATCAATATGATGGCGTGACTATTAGATTGTAACTCACAAGATTGTTACAAAGTTAGTATGATGACGTGACTATTAGATTGCAACTCACAGGTATATTCTACCCACGATTGTTACAAAGTTAATATGATGGCGTGACTATTAGATTGTAACTCACAGGTATANGTAATTCTACCCACGATTGTCACAAAGTTAATATGTGGCGTAATTATTAGATTGTAACTCACAGGTATATTCTACCCACGATTGTTACAAAGTTAATATGATGGCGTGACTATTAGATTGTAACTCACAGGTATACTCTACCCAAGATTGTTACAAAGTTAATATGACGGTCTGACTATTAGATTGTAACTCACAGGTATATTCTACCCACGATTGTTACAAACTTAATATGATGGCGTGGCCATTATATTGTTTCTCTCAGGTATATTCTATCTACAATGGCTGCCTGGATATGGGATTTTGCATACCCAGAAGGCTCTGCACTTGGCTGACGTTCTTCTTGGCTTCATTCTTGACCTCATGTCTACATAACTTGAACTTACGCCATTTCGTCGTAGAGCAGTGATCGCGCAGGGTAGAATCAATGGCCAAGTAGCTTTGGTCGTATAATTCGCTTTGACTCATTAACTTTCCACGGCCCATGGGTTGAAGCAACCAAAAAGTTCCGTATTTGTCTCCGATCAGGTTCACGTCAACAGCGTTTCAGTTATTATCCCTCAGTCCGAAAAGACCATTCTTGTTGAATTACCTCAGAAATATGNAAAAAAAAAAAAAAAAAAATACCTGTAATTTCGAAACGTTGAACTAAATCTTCTTTGTTCAAAACCTACCAGTTTTCAATTCAGTCAAGTCGACGTGGCCTGTACCCCTGGGCCTGTACTCTTGAAACAGAATGATGACTGCACTGCGCGGAAGACTCGAAATGCGCCCGAAAAAGTGGCGCGTTTTTGACTTGCACGCCTGTTAACCAATAATTGTCCAAAACAATGAAATAATCTGGGGTTAATCGATCCCTACTAAACGAATATTCAGTATTAAAACACACTTGTTTGTGTTACTATTTAATATTTCTGTTTTCAAGTAGCAAGACAGAGTATTTCGGGAAATTAGCGGCAAAACTGCGTTACTTGTTTGATACTCTTCAGGACGGTTTTCTACTATAAACTGCGGGGCAAAAATTTCATTGCATGCGGCTCCTCGCTCGTGGCTCAGACTTCCATTCAGTTGTTTTTAATACTAGATGATACAACAGCCTTCTCTTGACCGCTTCGGTTTCTAAACAGCGTTCTAGAAAAAGATGGACACACTAAGAATTTCTGAAATCTCGGTCCTGGTTCTAGTTTTAGTACTAAAGAAAGCCTTACCACGATGTTTAGTGTTTAAAATTTCGTTAGAGACCACTCTGGTTACAGACGTCGGTTCGCATTTTTTTTCTATATTAATTTAATCTAGCAGGCCTCTGGGTGATGTATAAAGACTTGAATGTCTAAAACATGAAACAGAAAATGTCATTTTGAGAAAACACCTTTCACCGCAAGTGTCAATATAATTATCTCATATCTAAAAAATGATTGACGCAACCAAACACATTTGTAATCTTCCCTGCGGTGATTTTTTTTTTTTGGACTCTAAAGCTGCTCATGATCTCTACGGTATGGACTGCCTGTTTCGTGTTCATTTATTAATATGTTATTTACACTGAGACAGTCATTACGGACAACACTAGCCTCTTGCAGGAGTTCAATTCGCTTAGGCGAATTAGTGTTTCTCAGCTTTTTTTTTTCCACCTAAATCAATAAATGCTATAAATCTACAGTATGGACTGCCTGTTTCGTGTTCATTTGTTAACATGTTACTTACACTGAAACAGTCATCACGGACATTACTAGCCTCTTCCAGGCCTGCAATTCGTTTAGGCGCAGCGCGAAAAACGGCGAGCGAAAAAAATAGGGGAGAAGCGTGGCGTTCGCTTTCTCTCGCCGTCCTTCTCCTATTTTTTCACTCGCCGTTTTTCTCGCTGCGCCCACATTGAACGCCTGTAAGAGGCTAGAACAACACCTGTTAAGTATCGATATCAAGAGGCGTTTTTAAGGCGGGACTTAACCTAAAATTCTGAAAGAAATTCGAAGTTTTGTTTTTTACGGAACTCGAATCT